TCTCTCTCAAAGCTAAACATTAAAAAAATTTTTTAATTAAAAAAATAGTATTTAATAGTAAAATTTCTTTTAAAAAAGATCATTGAGGGGCGCCTGGGTGGCGCAGTCGGTTAAGCGTCCGACTTCAGCCAGGTCACGATCTCGCGGTCCGTGAGTTCGAGCCCCGCGTCGGGCTCTGGGCTGATGGCTCAGAGCCTGGAGCCTGTTTCCGATTCTGTGTCTCCCTCTCTCTCTGCCCCTCCCCTGTTCATGCTCTGTGTCTCTCTCTGTCCCAAAAATAAATAAACGTTGAAAAAAAAAAAAATTTAAAAAAGATCATTGAGGGCTTTAAAAAAGATTGATTACCGACTTCAAAAAATAATTATGTGCATACAGTGCAATATTTATGAACTAAAAATGGGCATAGGATGAAAAGGAATTCCCCATCTATCCTGACCCCCTTCCCCATACCACAGTCAGTCATTTTCAGGAACTTACTTTGACATAATTTCAGACTTCCAGAAAAAATATATCCTTCACCCAGATTTCCCAACTGTTAACTCTACCACATTTGCTTTATTACATTTTAAGCTATTTGAAGATTATTTGCTGTCATGATGGTCTTCTATCCTTTGTCTTTAGTGTACATTTTCTAGAAATAAGGGCACCCTCTTACATAAGCGCTGTGTAGTTCTCAAAATCAGAAAGTTAAATCAATACAGTTCTGTTGCCTAATCTATAGACCTTATTCAAAAATCTCCTATTATTTCAATAACATCCCTTATAGACAAAGAAAAATATGTTTTTTCTGGCCTGGGATCCCATCTAGGATCACACGTTGCATTCAATATTGTGTCTTTTTATCCTCCTTTAAGCTGGAACAGTTGCTCATTCTGTCTTTGTTTTTTATGACTGTGGTATTTTTAAAGAGTGTAGGCTGGTTATTTTGTAGAATGTCCTCGGTTTGGGTTTGTCGGATTTGACCTCAGGTTAGATGCAGGAGTGGCATCACACAAAGTGCTGCTCAGTCCTCAGCGCATCGTATCAGCAGGCACATGATGTTGGTTTGCCCCCGCTCTGGGGATGTTACCTTGGATGACTTAGGGTGGCATTTCTGGCAGGGAGTTTTAATTTTAATGCTTATTGCTAAGCATTATTGCTTATTGCATTTTGAGCTTATTGCTAAAATACCTCCCACACAAACCTGTGTCTCCTCATTGCTAAAGCCCATGAAGTTCCTCTCCCATCTCACCAGTTTGCAAGGTCTCTGTCCCCCCAGTAGCTCTGCTCCCAGCTGACTTGCTCTTTCTTTCTTGCCATCTGGAGGCATTTAGCCTGTGGTTTTCAGAGTGTGGTCTGAAGGGGTCCCCTGGGCCTGCCACAGATGCAGCCTGCCTGTGGGTTTCCCGTGGTGGCCCTGGTGTACCGATGTCCAGGCCCGTGTTTCTGTTTTTGGCACAAATTGCTCACCTACCTGTGAGCATTCCTCACTGGAACCTCATCATAAATGGGCCCATTGCCAGCAAATGTTTTTATAGTCAGGAGACTGGAGGGGTCTTTTCTTCAGAGTGGCTTATGACCTGAAACTGCTGTTTTGAAGGCTTGTTAACCAGTGATATTAAGAGTAGAGACTGCGGAGGCACCTGGGTGGCTTAGTCGGTTGAGCGTCCAACTTTGATTCAGGTCATGATCGCACGGTTCATGAGTTTGGGCTCCATATTAGGCTCCTGCTATCAGCGTGGAGCCAACTTTAGATCCTCTGTCCCTGTCTCTGCCCCTCCCCCACTTGCACTCTCTCTCTCAAAAATAAATAAACCTTTAAAAAATAAATCGTGTTAAAAAAAGAGTAGAGACCACACTTATAATGCTGTTTTGATTTACGAGCTGTTTGGCACGGTTGTGTCCTTTGATTCTTGTGACAATCTTAAGAATAAACAAGAAGCAGGCCCATTTGGGATTCCTACCCCATTTTATGGATGAGGAAACTGAGGGTCAGAAATAAGAAGGTGCAAGGCCTGGACCCTTGTCTGTCTGACTCTTTCATATATAACAGATTGTCACTGGTGCTTCAAGCAGGTTATGAACGGGACAGATATGGTCCCTGCCTCTAGAGCCCAATTGCTGGTGAAAGAGACAGATACTAATCAAGTAAGCAAACAAGTAAGTAATAATTATAAATAGTAAGTGCTAAGAAGAAAACAAAACTGGGTGATGTAGTTGGGGGGTGCCCAGGGGTGGGCCATAGGGGACAGCTTGAGACAGGATGGTCAAGGAAGGCATCTCTAAGGAGGTGACATTTGAGGTGAGACCTGAAGGAGAAGAAGGTGCTACCCAAGGGAATACTTGGGGAAGAGTGTTCCAGCTGTCAGGAACAGCAGGTGAAATGGCCCTGAGGTAGGAAAGAGTTTGGTGTGTTCAACAAATATTAAGGAGGCCAAGGTGGCTGGGGCAGAGTGAGGTGGGCAGTGGAGAAAGATGAAGTCTGACAGGTAGGAGTGGTCAAGCCACTAGAGCCTTGAAGGGCCTAAGCAAGGATGTGACATGGTCTTATTTATTGATTGACTGATTGATTGATTGATTGTTGATTTTCATTTTTAAGGACTCGTAGGGTGCCTGGCTGGCTCAGTCAGTAGAGCATGCAACTCTTTCTTTTTTTTTTTTTTTTTT